ACCCTTTATTTTTAAGCTGCCCCCGGGATAATTCCACAAGTCAGACACATGTTGTCCGAGACTATCAGTGGAAATGGCAACACCGGAATGGAACTAGAACCCTTTTTAACAGGTTCTGGTCCAGATCTAATAAAACAGATCTGGGATGTGATTGCAAGTGGAAACCTCATGTAGGAGCTTAGAAATGTAAATATTTGGATTCTTATGGTGAGGCAACTATTGTGGGTGGACCACTAGGCCCTGGAAGCAAGCTGTATTTTGACCCACCAGTTGATGATGAAAATTGGAAAGGTCCCTTCGCTAATGGGACCTGGGCTCTAAAGGGGCATTACTGAATTTGTGGCCAAAATGCTTACTGCAAGCTACCTCCAAACTAGCCAGAGATATGTTATGTGAGATATATTAGACCATTGTTCTTTCTGCTACCACAAGTTCAAGGAAATCAGTTAGGAATCAAAGTATATGATGATCTAATTAGAGAGAAGTGGTCCATTGATACATCCCTGGTTGGAAGGAGCACCCAAAAGTGGAGAAAAGATGAATGGCCACCTGAACGGATCATACAACACTATGGCCCAGCTACCTGGAACCCAAATGAATTAATATCAGGTGCCAGAGAACCCATTTATAATCTAAATCGGATAATTAAGTTGCAAGCTGTCTTTGAAATAATAATCAACCAGACAGCTACAGCTCTTGACCTTCTTGCTGACCAGTCTACTCAGATGAGAAATGCAATATTTCAACATCGGATGGTATTAGACTATTTATTAGCAGAAGAAGGGGGGGTGTGTAGAAAATTGAATGACTCAAACTGCTGTTTGCAAATAGATGACAATAGAAAAATGGTAAAACAAATAACAAAAGGAATAAGAAAGTTAGCCCATGTACCGGTCCAAACATGGAAAGGATGGGAATGGGACATGTTTTCATGGTTACCTGGTGGCCTATGGGTCAAACAAATGTTTTTTTTCCTCTCATGTGTTGTAGCAACTCTAATCTTTTTACCATGCATGATCCCTTGCTTAATACAACTCATTCAACATGTGATCAAAAGAATGCAGGTAGTAGCCGTGCCTACTGATCCAGAGATAGCTACAAAAGGGCAGAAAGTAATGCCACTGCAAATAATTGCAAAGCCAAAAAAGACCCAAGAACAAGAAATTAGGTCAATGATAACTAAGGTTTGTAAAGACAATTATTAACAAAAATTAAAAGAGGAGGGATTGAGAGGAATGATGAGCTTATCTTTACAAACAAGCTGTGGGTCAGTTGATAAGATGTAGCTATCAGTGAGAGACGACAGAAACAGTGGGATGGATTCCAGTAGAAGATCAAAGAGGCACTGAAAGAACACTATGAATTCCATAAAAGTTAAGAAGGGATTATGCATTGGGGGTGGGGGGGGAAGGTACCCCAGGTGTCAGGCGTTCCGGGAAGCCTGTACCTCTCAAGTACCTCAGCCTATGGGGAAAGGGAGAAGGGACAAGCGGCCGGGAATTAGGATAAAAAGGAGGCTGCGCCCTCCAAAAATTTGAGAGACCCCAGGGGAATGCCCCATAGCCTCTCCCTTTATTCGAATAAAGAAAAAGGACTCCTCTGTCTCCTTTTTGGACATAAACCTCTGGTGTTCGTGGATTAATTTTCCTGACATTACTAACAAAGGATTGTCCCTTAAAAACAGAACCCTACTACATATTCATAAATTCTCATACATATTCAGACATTCTTCTTAGGATCTTTGGTGTTCTTCTGTTTAGTTTTCTCTTGCCCCCTTCCCAATAGATCAATCCTCTTGGCACCATCGAGATTTACATTCCCTGATAACAGAAATGCAATAAATTCCTCCCCCAGAACTCTGGTCAGGTGGTCTTCATCTGGATAAGATAGTTTACGAATGCAGGGGGGGGTCTCTAGCTATCTTTTTAGTCTTTGGGTTATACAAACAAAAGCAGTTTTTATTTTAATACTGTTATAAATGCAACGGCAGATTAGAGATAAAAAAGATAAATTTATTATAAATTAACAAAACAGCAAAACAGCGAGGAAAAACCACAATAAATGGACAGCGCAGCGCTGGGTGGACAGGGTCTATACGCAAGGTATAGGTGTTCCCAAATCCACGTCTGAGGGTTCTTTGGCCTGGGTTTTTATAGGGATTTTATGTCCCCAGGCTAGAATTCCAACCAGTTTCCATTCACCAAGTGTCCCTGATTGTCGGGTGAATGGATTTCCTGGCCTAGAAAATTGAGTCAGTAAGTGTCCGGGCAGAGTCTCCTCAAATGCAAAGTGAGTCTGTATGTATTTTAACATATTTCATCACAGCAGAGTCGAGGGATCCGGGCTAGTGCCGATGGATATCTCGGAGGAGTAGTCTCTTCTTTGTCCTTCTTGATTGAGTTACTTTAGCATAGGTTTGGCGGGTGTGGTGTTCAATTCTGGCAACGACCATTTTCCTGAGGCTCGTCCCTTTTGTCTTGCTTGATGGTCTCCGGGCCGAAATCGGCCGGGCGTTGCCTTTGTCCGGAGGTAGATTTTCAGGCTAGTTCTTTTGTTTCTATGATGGTCTTTGTCCTGTCCTTTCCTCCGAGTTGATGTGCCTGCTGAGGTTTGTTATCTGGGGGGGTTCTTTTGCAATCCGTGACTTTGGAAAAGGAATTCTACCTCGACCTGGAGGAGAATTCCTTATTCCATATTTTCATTAGTTATAATTACACATACTTTATTTAAACCTTTTCTTCCGAATTTTTATTCATCCAATTCTTTATTACAAATACTATGCCATAGCTTAATATATATGTATTATACCACTATTTCTAAGTTTCATCAATAACAGAAATAAAGGAAACTATATTAATACAACAAAATTTTCTAA